ATAAATCGTCCCATGGCGTTTATTGCTGTGCTTTTCTTTTCTTTAGATGTAGATTTCATTATCCCTTTAATAGAGGCAATTAAAAAGTTTTTATCTGTTCTGTTTTGAGATACTGCACAGACCCGTTAAGTTGGGCTTTGCTTTATAGCTGTGCCAATGTTTTTTTTATTTATTTATGTATTTTTAACAACTTTTCATAACCTGTTTAAGTCAAATGTGAGAAATTGTTTTAATTTCTGTAGCACAGAGACAGAAGTGAAAAAAATCTGCACAGATCTGCTCACCCTGCCTAGTCGGAGTCTCTCTAGAAGCAGTCAGTACGACATGGGAAAAAATTCGGAATGGAGATTCAAAAGTCGTACACAACCGGTGAGTTCAGGCCTTTAGTCAGATCATCCTGTTAGCTTACACAATCATGTTATCTTATCTTCCTCTTGTGTTTTTATGTTAACTTGCTTTGGTAAGTTTTAAATTGTTCTTCCCTCAAAGGAACACTGCGTAACCTATGGCCCAAGTATTAGCTTAATTTAAGATAAGGACAATTTTTTTTTATAATGTTGGAGCATATTTATGCACTGTCAGGGCCTCCCTTCTTAAAAACTCTTTATATCTTCAGGGTTGGATGTGTCACTGAATAAGTCATTGAGAGCACCATTTTATCACAATCTAAGCTCCCCTTAAATATGACAGCTAACTAAGCTAAAGTTGTTGTTGGGCAGCAAAGCAGGTATGACACCAGTCTGATCAGAAATATTTTTGGTTATTTGATGAAGGACCTAAACCAGAAGGATAAATTTCCCCTTGTCTTTCCAAGTAACTCAAGGACTTCTCGATCTGCTGGTCCAAAGTGGTCTGCCATCAGACTCCAAAACAGCGTTCAATTTGATGACAGTCCATCATAACCAGTGACCTTCACGGGAGCTAAATTCAAAGGGGCTAGAAGTTCACAGCGTTGCTTTAGGTAAAAATGTTTAGTTTCAACTCTTTCCCAAATTTAGGTCCTACTCTACACCATTTATTGATTTGTTTTAGAGTTCTTTTTTTATTGTCAACAGCACAGTTAATCACTGCTTTGATAGAGATAAGGTGCCCTATGGCAACATTAATGTTACGCTATCCTTACTGGAACTTTACATTGACCTCATTCTTTTCCTAATAGGGGTGCAATATACTGATTAATAAATAGTCCAATGTTGATTCATCTTACTTATCAACTAACAATTAATTGATAAGCAGTTTTTTTTTTTTTTTTTTTTTTTTTTTTACGTATGGTATGAGCTTAGAAAAAAAGCATATCAGTATATTATAATTATCTATTATGCCAGGTGTAATGAAATCTCCTAAAACAAACAAAACATATTTTACTACATATCATTACATTTGTTTATAAAATATAACAAAACGACATCCAGAGCATCAAAAAATCTAGAGAATTCAAAGTTCAGAGCAGCTGACTAAAGTCAGCCAGCGTCCAAGATTAAAAGAGTCATGCTCTAGGTTAAGGGTTATTTTTAAGTTGACTTTGGGTTACTTCTAGGGTTAGGCCTGTACTGGTAATTGATAGGGTTATGGTGAAGATCATGGTTAGACCATATAAATGAATAGAAGTCAATTTAAAGGAGAATTCCGGTTTTTAACACTTTTAGCCCATTTTCTGTAGTGTCCAGGATGAAATCGAATGATCGACACCAAGATTTTGACAATTGGTCCTGTCTCTGCTTTTTGGCTCATTTAGAATCCACCCCTGGCTGCTTCAGAATGGCTTCCATAGTGCATGTCCGATAATGTCCTTAAAACAACCTTAAACGTTCTTTTTTTAAAATATGCTACTCACCGGGTCGTCAGCGCTGTTCAATGACGTTCCAAAAAAAGTTTCGTAAAGAAAAAACGTTCCTGTAGTGTTTTATTTAGCATTTTGTAAATCCCATTGAGTTCTGTTGGAATAGTCAATATTCCCCTGCCACCGGAAACGGAAATGGGGCCTGTTTACACAGTTGTCGTCTTTTCGCTTCACTCTGTGTACTCCGACGTTGAGGTGCTAACGTCTCTGTTAAACACTTTAAAAAACTCTGAAAATGGAATACGAAAGGTGGATTCTTGATTCTCGACGTCGGAGTACACAGAGTGAAGCGAAAAGACTTCAACTGTGTAAACAGGCCCCATTTCCGTTTCCGGTGGCAGGGGAATATTGACTATTCCAACAGAACTCAATGGGATTTACAAAATGCTAAATAAAACACTACAGGAACGTTTTTTCTTTACGAAACTTTTTTTGGAACGTCATTGAACAGCGCTGACGACCCGCTGAGTAGCATATTTAAAAAAAAAGAACATTTAAGGTTGTTTTAAGGACATTATCGGACATGCACTATGGAAGCCGTTCTGAAGCAGCCAGGGGTGGATTCTAAATGAGCCAAAAAGCAGAGACAGAACCAATTGTCAAAATTTTGGTGTCGATCATTCGATTTCATCCTGGACACTACAGAAAATGGGCTAAAAGTGTTAAAAACCGGAATTCTCCTTTAAGAAAAGAGAAACAACAAATATGTGGGAGTGTGTGTGTTTATTTGCTTCAGTCTTTGAAACTGAATAAATCTGTTTAGTGAATTTAAGATTCTTAGCTGTTGGCTCTAACAGGGACAGTCTTCCTACATGAACGTGAGCAGAAATGTCCTGATCAAGGTTTGTCCTCAATAAAAAGTGCTTTTAAGATTAAGCCTTGTAAAAAAAGAGAGCCAATCCAGTGTTGCAGTCTCTACTATTTGGTTGTCTAAACAGTAACAGAATTTCTGTATTGATTCCAACAGGGAAATCTAAATAAAGAAATCTAGCCATATTCAACAAAAGGTTATCATTCATTTCAAAAGAAATTTCTGATTCAGTAAAAACAGCTGCAGTTTTCAACAAACCAAGCACTAGGCTTATATTATCACTTTGATTGCACAGAACAAAGACATTTCATTGATGAAAAATGTGCAAGGGATGGGAAGCATCTGTAAGAATGATAACATTAAAGACAAAAACGTGTTTAAAACACAGCCAAAAACTAAACACATTGCTCTGAACATCTTATAATTATTGACTTGTTTTCTACTCAACAGTCGTCTAAGCTGCTCAGATAACAGAGAAGGTCACATGGCTGCAGCAGCAATTAGTGCTTTTTTCAACTTTAATTTAAAATTATTTTTTTTTGGTAAAACTACCTTTCTGTATTTGATGCAGATGTGCAAGCACTGCTTGCATTTCTCATGAAAAACTTGACCGAGCTTATACATACATCTGATTGGATCAATAGTGCCCCTTTTTTGGAGGTGAGGTTCAAATAAAAAAATTTGTGCAATTGGAGTTAACTAGCTTAAGCCCCGTCACACCTTGACGACTTAGACAAGCGTATGCCTGACAAACAAAAAATCTGGCAGAAATGTTGACAAATGTTGGATAAGTTATGGGTACGTTTTGTCCACATACAGAGAGTACGTGGAGAAGTTCTAAGCTTGCTCAAAATTTCCCAACGTATACCAGCATATGCCATACATGGGCCATAGGTTACAGGTAAGCTATCTAATCGTTAACATACATTAAGTTTAAGTTTCTCATAAGTCATGGAGTCTAGCTTATCCACAAACTATGAGTAAGTTGAGCATAACTTATCAAGAACTTATCTCCAACGCATATCAGTGTATCTGACGTGTTCTAGACGGCCGCTGAATGTGTTTCTAACTTACAGCTACTGTTTAATGGCGTATTGGCAGCATTTTGGTATGAAACGGGGTTCACAGGGGGACACAGTCAGTTCTCCTCCAGACTGCATCCCCATCATAGTGTGAACAAGAAGGTGAGTGTGATGGATCCTCCCTGCGTTCACGACCATGGCACAACCAAGAAACTTTCTAGCAGACATGAAACTGAATCAAACCCTCTTTCTTTTTGTTTTTATCTATTCTTTTCTTGGGGCAGGCGGTAACAGTAGCTAGATTAATATCGAGATAAAGGACATCTTTTTATGCGAACCGGGCACCTCCAGGGCATTGCTGCTCCAGCGATGCGCCACAGGGGAGCAGCTTTAACTGATGGTTAGTAATGCCCATGAAATGATGCTAAAGCATTATGCTGCCGTTTATTATGCATAAGTTAAGTTGTCGTTGGACATAAGCTCTGGACTCGCCATGTATATGCCCAAAATTGAAAAAATACATAGAAAGTTTAGCTTATGCCTGCGTTTTAGGAGATTCTGGGACGTCGGGCATACACTGGCTAAATCAGCAAGGTGTGACAGGGCCCTTACAGAGTGAATGCAAAAAAACCCACTAAATTACTTATAGTATTTGAATAAAAACCGTCACCCAGTCTTAACCACACAGAAGCAGCTTGCTCTGATGGATTTAACTACTTATGACTTTAATGCAGAATGGTATTGGGAAGCAAATGGGAGCAGCTAGCTTCCATGATACAGATGGAAGTTGTGCAGAAGAAAAAAAAAACTTTCTGGAAAAACATGCCAGAAACAAGTGACGCTTTTGGTGGCCGATGGGTTCCAGAAGTAACCACCTAAATACAGCAGTTAACTGCTGTAACTGTTCCTTTTTATGCACTAAAATGCTTGTTTAACTCGCCTGACTCATGGGCTAAATCCAACCAGAATCTAGTTTCCTATGATTGAGACTGCAGGTATACACAATTTTCCATAAACACATACCCTCTTGCCCTTCCCAGCTGCTGCTGTCTTTAAAAAGCGTTGCCAATTTGAAAGTGAAAAGTCTGGAAAAGAAAACTGATCTGTTTAAAGGCCTGTATGTACAAAAAATAAATAAATAAGACCAAACATAGCAGAGTTATATTCTAATCCATCTTCAGGAGTTCTACAGTAAATAGCCTTTGGGTTGCCTTATGCTCACAGGCTTTTCATTAATACAACAAAAAGAAAACCACAAGATCACTGTTTGCATCTCCTAAGAGTTATTTCCAAACCACAGCATCAAGATTAGAAGCAGAAGCCTTACCTTCCCAGGAAACACTTGGGAAAAGTAGTAAGCTTGCGTTTCCGGTCTTTAATGAGGTTCCCTTTGGTCATGAGGTGGTAGAGCTTTTCTCCTTTCTCTGAGACCATGACCCACGTGTCCTGCTCCATGCCAAGCCTAAGACCTGTGCAGAGGAAGAAGGAAGCGCAAAATGAAAGCTACTCTTTCAAATGTTTGCACTCTGCTCCTGAGCTACTTAACAATTGCAAGCAGAAGGTTAATGCCCTCTAATTTCAGCAGTACAGTTTGCGTCAATAGTCTAAGTGTAGATAATGTCTGACATTAGGGAGCATTTATTTAGAGCAGACCTAAAACTGAGATGAACTGACTTTAAATAGATATTGTAGTTAGATCACTGCTATTAAGTCAGTTTGGTGAAATACTGTTTGACTAAAGCCACTGCTTACTTTTCCTCCTCTCCCTTTCTTTCATGATGGCCTCCAGCCACTCCTGTTTCTCCTCCGGGGTCTTGGCCATGCAGACGAACCACTTGTTCTTGGCTGTGTTGTGGATCTTCCAGCCGTTGTTAACGATGTTACCGCTGCTGTGGTAGTCAGCTGTGCAGAAAAGTAGGAGAGCACATTGCCAAAAAGAATCTTAAGAAATACATTTAGATCTTTTACAAAATGCTTTTATTGTGACATAAATCAGGTTTTGAGTTCATGTCTGAAGGGACAGTCAGTCAGTTTGTTTTTCATTGGTCTTGATTGTATAAAACTACTAAGAACAACAGAGAAAACAATGGTTTTGTATTAATCAAACAGGAAATAAACCAAATAAACTTCTGTAAAACACAATTCTGAGACCTCTGTCAAAAATGTATTGATTTGATAATTATAATAGTGTGCAAAAATGACTGCAAAACTAATAAGGAATAACTTCCTTTCATAATTTGAACTACTTTTTCTAAGTTTAAGAGCTCAAAGACCAAAGAACTGGCCAAATGACTGCTGCTCTTCCTCTTAAATGAGATAAATCAGAAAAAAACAATTAAGAAGCCCTGTCAATTGACATTATATAAATAATAACTATAATATTCCCTTAGAATTAATCTCCACTTGCATTTTTCATATCAATCAACAAGTTTTATCATTAGATAAAGGATTTTGGCGAGAAACCACACAAACAAATAACTTGACTAGAACCTTTCTAACAGCATGAAGTAGGCATGATCACATCAACTCTCAAATTAATCTCAAGAACAGATTGGAAATAGAGTGAAGCTGTTCTAATTGTCCTTTGGTGCTCGCTGTGTCCATAAAATGAACTTGGTGGTTGAATTGTGGAGAATCTAAGCTTTCCAACAATGTCTAACATGTCTATATTGGAAAACATTTTACCAGTGTAATTTTCCTGCATTCTGAGTTATTATATGTACAGTAAACGCTTTAAAACAGTGGGTTTGGGTCTTTATTTTTCTTTGAATTAAGACTTTTGTAGCATCATCCTGTCCTTTTTTATTTTGTAAATGAAAAAAGAAAAATCAGCATGAAAAAACAGCCACCAAAAACAATTGACAAAAGATATTAGGAATCATTTAGGACTGATGCCCAAATAATCTGCATATGCATTGACCTTATAAAATCTGTTTTGTTCGATCTCTACCAGAATCAGGCCATGTCCGAAAATAACTGCATGGGCAACATTTGTGCTTTTTTGTAACATTAACAATATGGGAGAAAAGGCTGCAATTCATGAGGAAGATTTCCCTGTCTTTTTCAACACAGACATATTGCTCCGGTCCAAACAAAAATCTTTCCAAAATTATACAGTGCATTTTGAAAAAGTAGGTCTTAACCACTTCTTCTAGAACGAGCCTAACACTTTGCATATATATTTTTGCTTGCTCATGCATCCAAATTCCCAACATAGAAACAAAGAATTCATTTGTAGAGAGTTTTATTACTTCGTTTTTTTAATCAAAAAGTAAGACAAAATGTACAGGCCAAATGAATGTAGTAGAAACCGGGCAGAACAGAAGCTTTTTAGCTTAAGCCTGCAGCCAAAAAATGGTCCCAAAAACTGAAACACAAGTAAGACATAAAGAAAAATACAATAATCAGACAAAACCTTTTCTTTTTTTTTTAAAAGGGGACATCAAACGCATAAATATTGGAAAAGTTAAAAAGAGGTTGAGGTTGTAACAAAAAAATGTCTTTTTCTTTCACATATAAGTTTTTCTCTTATTTCGTTCATTCATAGTTTCAAATATTTATTTATATATATATATATATATATATATATATATATATATATATATATATATATATATATATATATATATATATATATATATATATATAGATATAGATATAGATATAGAGAGAGAGAGAGAGAGAGAGAGAGAAAGAGAGAGAGAGAGAGAGAGAGAGAGAGAGAGAGAGAGAGAGAGAGAGCATTTAAAATTATCTTTATTTAATATAGGATCAAAAACCAAAGCAGTCCGTCACAAAAGCCATTTATAGAAGTAGATCAAGAAAACAATCATAAATACAAATAACAAAGCTATTCAAGACAATCAATGATGTCAGCAGACTGATGTGCACCATTGAAATTTAGTTAAATTGTGACATTTTTATTCCTTTTTTTCTTTTTTCTTTTGGAGAACAATTCAAACACCCTCCAGATTAACTTTTTCTTTTCATGAGCAGCAAAAGCACATTTCCAAACGCATATATAGTGGGGTATTCTATGTATGGGATTCCTCGAATGTGCTGGTTTTAACCCAAGTGTTGGCCTGGGAAGCGCATCCATTACTCAGGAATCCCAGTTAAAATAGTCCTGTCACCCTGGATTTCAGACACAGATCTGCTGTCTGTGGTGCAGAACACCCGTGAGTTTCTGCGCTGCTGCCTGCTTCCTATGTTTATCCTCCTGCTCTTTCGAGAACCAAACCCATCAATCTCCCACCAGAAAAACGAATACCAAACTGTCCATCCAAGCCTGCTGGAAGGGAAAAGGTGAAACCTACAAATATAAATGATAATCAGAGGCGTAGTAATGCCAAGAGACACAAAGCGAAGGAGTTCACCCAGAACAAGCAGCCGCACAGTCCGAAGGACGTGTCACCACAGATGGTAAATGTACTGTTAGATTAATTCCATTTTAACCACTAACAAAGTAATATCACACGTAAGATGATGATTATGTTGTCTTAATGCATATTGCAGTTATATTTAAGTTTCTGAGCAGATGGAGCATGAATCAGAAAATTAAATTGAAGGAATATTACCTGTGCCATCATCCACATTTTCCACCTCCATCACCTCGGTGTTGATTCGTCCTCTGAACAGGTAGCGGGGACCCTCATTGGATGCTTTGCTGTTTTTCAAACGCCTTCCACACATAAGATAGAACCCCATTAGATAAATTAAAACATTTACATCTCTGTCCCTTTCTTAGGCCTGTATATTCAGACTCATTTGAATATGTGCAGTTACAAGTAGGTCTGTTTGATAAGGCTGAAAAATGTAGCACAGCATAAGCTTCTCTTATCAGGCAATGTTGATAATTATTATATTAAATTTGTACCTTTTTAAAATAAGGACCACATGAAGAAGGGCTAAAATGAAATTGTAACCCTGATGTGTAACCTTTGACCTTTAAAAACAGCCGACTACAACCTTGCTTAGCTTTGCTGTGAGCAGATGAGAGGCTGAGTCCTTTCCTCTGCCTACATCCCCCTGAATGGGAATCAAATTTCAGCGAAATCATCAGTGTTTTCATTGGACATATTTTCTATTGATATTCTATTGAGATCTATATTGACATTGTTTATTGTCGTAGCTACACTTAATGTCCCCTTAGCTAAGATGTTTAAAGACCTTTTTTAAAATAAACTCATGTTATACTTCGGAATTTTTCTTAGACATGGCCACATGTTTTAGACTGTTATTGGACCCCATGATGACTAAAGGAACTTTTTTTCTGGAGATGAAGAATTTAAGATATAATGTCTTCTTACAAGGAAACAGACCCACAGCATCATGGATCCTCAAATGTACAGAACTAACATTAGTTAATATATTTTGAATCGATTCCTTTACATTTTTGCAAAATCGATGTCTAGGAAATGAGATGGATTCGTTTTATAGTGACACGTGTGACGTTCACATTTAAATGAGCAGGAAAGATGGTCTCAAGATGACTTCAAGCCAGAGAGCTGCAAATATAGCCAATAGGTTGACTGAAGACATTAACAAATGGGGGCTGACCAGCAAACACCCTGTAGTTGTTACAGATAACGCTGCAAATATGGTTTGTACAGTGGAGATAATGCAGCTCATGCATGTCTGCTGTGTCCCCGCTGTCACGTCTGCTTGCTCGAGTGAGGCTTCACTTTTTCACTTTTCACAAACAAGTTTGCACTTTTGAGACAGTTTTGTTCACATCTCAAGTTTAAACTGTCAGATTTACAAGTTTGCACTTTGTGTTTAATATGACAGGAAAAAAATAAAATAATGAGCAATTTGAAACACAGTTGAACCACTTTCATTATTGTAAAAACAGATCGAATCGAAATTAATCGATTTAGAACTGTATGAATCAAAATTGAATCGATTCAGGACTTTGGCGAAAATACCCAGCCCTAGCTGTGAGATGTTTTTTCTACACATTCAGCTTTGTATTTTTTTTTTTAAAGTTAGAACCACCTGAAGCAATCGCTGCTAAAGATCTAGATTCTAATATCATCTAAGAAAAAGACAGAGTGCCCAGCAGATTTAAATAAACTTGGTTTGTTTAGTCTTGTGGTGTTTTAACAGAAAAGATAACTTTTTGAACAGTAGTAGTCTCTAACGGTTGTTGTTGAGACTAGTTCATACTAGCAGCTAATAATCAAGTTTAGGGATTTTTTTTGTCCTCCTTTACCATCCTGCTCTCCTTTCATGGTGACAAGAAAAATGTTGGTGGTTCATCATATTGTGTTTGCCAGATCTGACTCTAGACAAGTTTAGACTTGTAACTATCTTTCTTATAATTTCAGACTTAGGGTGCATTGTTTCATCTAAACTCACATTTAAGAGAAGTCATTTTGGAGGTAAAGGCACTGGTGTTCTCCATTGCCTCATAGGCCACTGTTACAACTATAAAAATGAACAAATCACCATTCTATGTGGTTTTCTCTGCATATACAAAGCATTGAAACATTTCATATTGTTTCCATGTAGCCCCTAATGACTCACTTAATGCTGCATGAATAACAAAGACCAGCTACAAAACATTAAAAACTGAAAAGATTAGCTAGTGTTGATATGAGTCACAGTCATCGTGTATACAGAAGTCTGGGACCATCCTGTTACACCAACTTTCCAACACATTATTATGACTTTTGGTGGCTTTCTACTTCAAATGCATGTCTCAGAAGATGGAAATTAAGACTTCTGAGGAGAAATAGAACACATCAATAATCCTCTTTGCTTAAATGACATGTTTGTAGGTTTTTATATGTGACTTATTAACTTAATCTCGGGTATTTTTTTCCTATAGAATCAGATTAACCTATTTTCTCTCTCTTAAATTTCATAGTAAAAATTACAAATACAGTATTGTTTTCGAAAACTTAATCTCAATCATCGCATCAAGGAGGTAAGCTTAATTTAAAGGGCCTAAATTTGTAAAATAGTCATTGCTCAGAGCAAACAATACAAATACAACAATACATTTTGGAGCTAGTGGTATCTCACAGAGACATGGTTTGAGAAGACATCTAAGAACTAAAGATGATGAACTGCTGTCACCATAATCTATGGAAGAACAAGGAGAGAAAAGGTTAAAAAAAAAATACAGATTTCGTTCAATCAGTTTTAATCGACTAATTGCCCAGCCCCATTACGAGGGTTGAGTTAGAGAAATAAAATGTAAAAAACATGGATCAGTTATGAATAAAATAAAAACACTAGGCTGATCAAATTCAAAATGGTACAAATTTTCGAAGATTTTACTACAATTAAATCTAAATAACACAATTTTAAAATTAAAACATGTTCTTAACTTAAAGGCAAGGTTTTTTAAGGTTTTTCCACCACCAACAGTGGTGGCTGTATGAGTAAGCAAACGAAACAAAATCGTTATACTTTCATTTTCACTCCATAAATATATATTTTTGTATGTCTTAATTCAGTAAAAAGAAATGTAACCAAGATGCAGACATGTTGAAGGTGATTATAAGGAAATATATAAAGGGAAATGAATTGAATAACCATAGAATCGATTAAATAGCATCGTTAGCAGCTATAGCCATAGAAATATATACAGCTTCACACAGCTGACTATCTGTAATCATAGCGGGGAATCTGCTGGAACCTCCTAGTAACTAGTACCATTCATAAATAATGAAAGGTGTAATGGTTTCACTTTAGGTGAAATATCATCTAATGAATAGGCTATTGTGTTTACAGTGAATGCTTGTTAATTTATTTCTGTTTTCTTCTTTACAATTTATTTTTGTTAATCTTTGCTCCCTGAAAGCGTATAAGCATTATTTTAGTAGGCTCTTTATTTTTTAACAAATAAAGTATCTCTGCCGGAAACTATACTACCCCTCTATTTCCTTAAATAAACGATAAGAGCGTGCCGCATGTTGGAGGATGTTACAACTCACAGTAGTGACCCATGTGTTAAAATGACAGGAGATCCACCTGTTTTTCTTCTTGCAGTAAACCAGAAGCTTGTCAAACAAGAAGAAAGCCCTCTCTTGTATGTTTCCAGCCGAAATCTTCAACAGGACGCCCTGCATCAGCATCTCTGTGCACGTATCTGTAATATTGGAGCCCTGGCGGGAAAAAAATGGGATTAACCCAACATTTAAGATCAAATCATTATATGACATTATATGTATATGTTGAGACATATGTAAATGTTTCTCAATTCAGAATAAATAAAACCTGTACCCTTATCTGTCTGAGCCATAGACTCCTTCCATAAGAGAAAATAAGTGTAAAAAAGGACTGTCCTGAGACATGCATTTAGACACCCATTGAGTAAAATGGTAAAACTTCCTTTTGCTCTATGTTCAGCTTGAAGTCTTCTAAAATATCTGTCTCTTGAAGTATTTGCTCATTGTTCTTTGCTGAACAGCTCAAGCTCAAACACATTAGATGGAGAGAATCTGTGAACGTACATTGTAAAAGTCTTGCACCACTTAGTCTGAGGTCTGGACTTTGGTTTATACTGATTATGCTTCTAATTCAACTAGGGCTGCAACTAACTATTATTTTAAAAATCGATGAATCGGCCGATTATTTTTTTCGATTAATCGATGAATCGGACAAAAAATATTTTTTATATTAACCTCTTTATTCCAAAATAAACATTTTAGACAGAACAAACAAGCACAGAAGTACAGGTTGCTCATTAACTGTACTGTACAATATGAAAAATAAATGTTTGTGTTAAAACTACGCAAACTTACATGAGAAATGTAGCTGTACATCCACAAAATATAGGGTACTTTGTTTCATAAAGCGCATAAAAAGACATTTTTGTTTTTAAAAGCCCCTAAGGGGTTCAAACAATAGGCCCCCCCCATTTCAACAAATTAGTTTTTTTTTAGACTAGAAGCGTTCTGCCTTTTAAGACAGGAAAGTATAACAGTTAAAGTTGCTACTTGAGAAAATACTTTCCATAGAGATAAAAATAGCCCAGTCATTCAAATTATAAATTGTATTTGAAATAAAAATGAGAGAACTAGGGGTGCTAAAAAACACATCCTCCAAAGACAGATATTTACATGGGAATGTGGCAAATATAATTAATTGACATATTACTGATCTTGCTGGATTTTATTCTGCTTTACTTCCTTAAATTGCAGGATTGTCTTTACTTTATCTTTGCCAGCAGATTTAAATGCCTTGCCCTCATAATTTGCAAGTTAATTTATTTATAAAGAAAATATAAACGCTGCTTAAGCTAATTCAAATGAATTTAAAAGTAAAATAAGTAGCCAACCTTATCACTGTCTGTAACCATAATAAGGTAAGGAAAGCATCAGATGAGCTACCTGAGAAACTAACATTACGTTTCCCCACTTTAAAACGAAACAAACATGGTTACTCATCCTGCTGATCAGCTCTCTTCACTGCCATTGAAGGCTCCAACGTGTTTTCTTTTCAGGTGCTGCATCATAACAGTGGTGCTTCCGTGCATGTTACGACTTTTTTCACTTTACAAAGAGCAGGTTGTTTTAATTATTGTGAACAATTTGCGCCGTCAATCCCGGCGCATGTGCGCTTCATTTGCAGTCTGGACGCTGTGGGTAAACATCCTCTGACTGCAGCGCTGAGAGGGACTCCTGCGGGAGCGTGAGAACGGGGTTGGGATGGGGGAGACGCCCCACGGCAGAGTAGGAACGATACATGCTTTCATGTAAGAGTCTCCAAAAGCCGCCAGTGACACGTAAAAAGTCGCCAGATTTGTCGCTAGTTGCTTTTTTGAAAAATAGTCACTGGAAGGGTCTGAAAAGTCGCTGAGTTAGCAACACTGCAACTGTGGCGCTGACTCGCTCTGCCGTATTTTTTTTTCTTCCCCCGTTTCAGTCAAGTGGATGTGATGACGGCGGCGGCGGCGGCGGATGACGCATTGATCGCGCGACACAACTAATCGATGATTAAATTCGTTGCCAGCGCTTTTAAAAGTCGATTTTTATCGATTTTATCGATTCGTTGTTGCAGCCCTAAATTCAACCCTTCTATTGTAGCTTCAGTTGTAAAGTTGGGGTAGCCCTCATTGGGAAGCTGAACCACAGCTCCAGTCTCAAGGCTATGGAATCCTCCAACAGGTTCTCTAACCGTGTATTTAGCTAAATCATCTTTTCTTTAACTGTGACCATCCTTCTAACAAAGCCTCCCCACAGCTAGTTGCTGCTACTTCCATGCAGATGTGTTACTCAGGGTTCAATACGACTTTTCCACTAAACGACTTTTAAATGGTTTCCTATCAAAAATGTATTTCATGACATAGTTGTCATGAAATTCATAGTTGTTCAGTGTACATTTTGAGGACATCCTCAGTTCTTAGAAAATATGTTGCCAGTCCTTCTAAGATATTAGGAAAAACGTGGTCAATACTTTAGAAAAACATGCTCAGTTCTCATGTATTAGGAAAAACGTGGATAGTACTTTGGAAAAACGTGATCAGTTCTCAGGTATTAGGAAAAACGTGGTCAGTCCTTTGGAAAAACGTGGTCAGTTATCAGGCATTAGGAAAAACGTGGTAAGTCCTTTGGAAAAAACGTTTTCAATTCTCATGTTTTAGGAAAAACATGGTCAATACTTTGGAAAATGGTGGTAAATTCTAAGGTTTTAGGAAAAATGTGCTAAATTCTTTGGTAAAATGTGGTCAGTTCTCAGGTATTAGGGAAAACGTGGATAGTACTTTGGAAAAACGTGGTCAGTTCTCATGTATTAGGAAAAACTTGGTCAGTTCTCATGTACTGTATTAGGAAAAACCTGGTCAGTCTTTTGGAAAAAAACGTTTTCAGTTCTCATGTATTAGGAAAAACGTGGTCAATACTTTGGAAAAACGTGATCAGTTCTCAGGTATTAGGAAAAATGTGGTCAATCCTTTGGAAAAACGTGGTCAGTTCTCATGTATTAGGAAAAACGTGGATAGTACTTTGGAAAAACGTGATCACTTCTCAGGTATTAGGAAAAACATGGTCAGTTCTCATGTATTAGGAAAAACCTAGTCAGTCCTTTGGAAAAAACGTTTTCAGTTCTCATGTATTAGGAAAAATGTGGTCAATAGTTTGGAAAAACATGGTCAGTTCTCATGTATTAAGAAAAACGTGGTCAATACTTTGGAAAAACGTGATCAGTTCTCAGGTATTAGGAAAAATATGGTCAGTCCTTTGGAAAAACGTGGTCAGTTCTCATGTATTAGGAAAAACGTGGATAGTACTTTGGAAAAACGTGATCAGTTCTCAGGTATTAGGAAAAACGTGGTCAGTCCTTTGGAAAAACGTGGTCAGTTATCAGGCATTAGGAAAAACGTGGTCAGTCCTTTGGAAAAAACGTTTTCAATTCTCATGTTTTAGGAAAAACATGGTCAATACTTTGGAAAATGGTGGTAAATTCAAAGGTTTCAGGAAAAATGTGGTCAATTCTTTGGTAAAATGTGGTCAGTTCTCAGGTATTAGGGAAAACGTGGTCAATACTTTGGAAAATGTTGGTAAATTCTAAGGTTTTAGGAAAAATGTGGTCAATTCTTTGGTAAAATGTGGTCAGTTCTCAGGTATTAGGGAAAACGTGGTCAATACTTTGGAAAATGGTGGTAAATTCTAAGGTTTTAGGAAAAATGTGGTCAATTCTTTGGTAAAATGTGGTCAGTTCTCAGGTTTTATGGAAAACGTGGTCAATACTTTGGAAAATGGTGGTAAATTCTTAGCCTGGGTGCCAGTCCGAACTTAGTCCCGCCCACAAGGTTTGAGTTCGGGGAAGTTCGGTCTGGCTCTGCTCCATAGTAGCGCGAGTATTAAAGCCCACTGTCAGGCGATCCAATCAAATTGTCAGGGCGGGCTTTATACGATGATCGACAGATGATCAAGAGTAACGTTATCAACCACGTGACCAAAGCGCGCTTGGGTGACAACAATAATGGCTGCCGCTGGAGAGTTTGGGTGAGTAGATTCTGCTATTAGGTCTGTTCTAGAAGATATCGACAGCAAATTAATTTTAAAAGAGGAACAGAGAAACGCGATCAAGTCTCATCTTCTTATTCTAGGCGTGAAACTGCACGCTTTGATTTTTGTTGACAACAACTATGCCTCGCTTAACATACGTCACGCACTCCGTTGCTCTTATTGGTTGTAGGTCTATCCAATTGAGTACAGAGGCATTTTTTTCCTGGTTCGTTCAAAACACGCCCCATAATCACAGCTCTATGGAGCAGTATCAGACTCATATTCTGACTAGAATTGAGTCGGACTACGTCAGGCTAGTAAATTCTAAGGTTTAGGAAAAACGTGGTCAATAATTTGGAAAATGGTGGTAAGTTCTAAGGTTTTATAAAAAATGTGGTCAATACTTTGGTAAAATGTGGTCAGTTCTCAGGTGTTAAGAATGACCATGTCAGTTTTCAGGTATCAGAAAACGATGGAGCTCCTTTTTTTATTATTTAGTGAAATTGCTACCAACTAGACAGATTGATATTTAACAAAGTAACATTCTCTTCTAAAAACACCTTCAATGTTTATTTTGGTTTTTATAAAGCCTTATCCATCAATTTATTGATTTTTTAACTACATTTTTTGCCACAATCATCCACCATTTCTGCTAAAGCCGACCAATTTATAGTTAGACCATACTCTTCCGTTTTCCCCTGACCTCCACAAACTGACCCATCTTAAGTCTTCCCTAATCTTTCCAAAACTGTTAATCAACTGTCTCCAACAATCCTCTGATGCCTTCACACAAAATAGTTAGATTGGTTGCACTGCAATTGCAGATACAGCAGTGAAGGAATGTGAATGCAAATGTATGCCACACTTTACACATTCTTTATTTTTTATTTTTTTGACTTTTCCTTTCACATCACTTTCGGTTGGTCTATCACGCAAAAGCTTGAAATGGATGGTAACTTTATGTGAAAAATGCCAAGGAGTGTGAATACTTTGGAGTCAATCAAATTGAGACAGAAAGCTGTGATATCTCTCAACATTCAGATGTAGCCTTGGTCAGATGAAGGCCTACACTGCCCAGCCTTTTCCTGTTCCCTCTCTCAGGGGTCTGTGAAAACACTCCCCACTTCCTTCAAGCAGATTGCTGTGGGACGTTA